TAGCTACAACATCAACCATTTGATTGTCTTCTCTTGGCACATAGTGGAAGGTGACTTCATCAAACTCTTCGAGCAAATCTAGTATTAGCTTCTGGTATTCGATCAGTTTTGCATCATTGGTTTCCCATTCTCCACGGAGCTAATAGATTACTAATGTCGAATCCCCGTATATCCACAAGGTATTTATGTTTTGCCCCAGTGCAGCTCGAATTCCCAAGACACAGGCCTCATACTCTGTCATGTTATTGGTGCAATCGAAGTTCAGTCTGCTGGTAAATGGGTAGTGATTCCCTTCTGAAGAGATCAGGATTACCCCGATGCCATGTCCTAATACATTTGATTCACCATCGAAGTGCATTCTTCAGGAACTGTCCGTTGAAGTACTTGATTCTTCTAAGGATATAGCCATAAAGTCTTTATCTGGGAAGTCAAAGTTCAAAGGCTCGTAATTTGTATCGGTTCTGCTTGCAAAGAAATCTGATATGGTACTTCCTTTTATGGCTTTCTAGCTCACGTACTCGATTTCAAATTCAGACAAGAGCATCTGCCATCAAGTTAACCTTCCAGATAGAACAGGTACACCTATCATGTACTTTAAAGGATCTAACTTGGAAATCAGCCAAGTGGTATGATAGAGCATATATTGTTGGAGTCTTTTTGTAACCCAGACTAAAGCACAATAAACATTCTCGATAGGAGGATATCTGACATCGCAATCGGTGAACTTCTTATTCAGATAGTAGATGGCTCTTTCCTTTATTCCAGATTCGTCATGTTGACCCATGACACACCCCATTGAGTTCTCGAATATGGATAGATACAAGAACAGAGGTTTGCCTGGGATAGGGAACATCAGGACAGGAGTGCGAGACAAATATTCTTTTACCTTTTCGAATGCAATCTGGCAGTTTTCATCCCAAACTCCAAAGTTGTTCTTTCGGAGAAGATGGAAGATTGGATCACACTTGTCGGTTAACTGAGATATGAATCGTGCTATGTAATTCAATATACCCAGAAAACCTTGAACCTCCTTCTATGTTCGTGGGGAAGACAAATTTTGGATAGCTTTGACTTTATCGGGATTGACCTCGATGCATTTCCTACTGACTACGAAGCCTAATAATTTTCCAGATGTTACCCCGAAGGTACACTTACTAGGGTTCAATCGTAGCTGAAACTTTCTCAATCTCTGGAAGAGCTTTCTCAAGTTCTCGACATGTTCATTCTCAGTTTTTGCCTTAACAATCATGTCATCAACATAAACCTCGATTTCTTTATGCATCATGTCGTGGAACAAGGCCACCAGCTCTCTGATATATTGCCCCAGCATTCTTTAATCTGAATGGAATCACTTTGTAGCAGAACGTTCCCCATATTATGACGAACATGGTTTTCTCCATGTCTTCAGAATGCATCTTGATCTGGTTATATCCCGAGAATCCATCCATGAAAGAAAATAAAGCATTCCCAGGTGTATTGTCTACCAACGTGTCAATGTGAGGCAGAGGGAAATTGTCTTTGGGACTTGCCTTGTTAAGGTCCCGCTAGTCGACATACATGCGAACCTTCCCGTCTTTCTTCGGAACTGCCACTATGTTGTCCACCCACTCTAGATACTTAGCCACTTGAAGAAAACCAGTATCAAATTACTTCTTGACCTCTTCTTTGATCTTAAGGAGCATTTCTGGTCGAATTCTCCTTAGCTTTTGTTGTACGGGTTTGCATTCTAGTTTGATAGGTAGTTTATGAACTATCATATCTGTATCTAACCCCGACATGTCTTGATACGACCAGGTGAACACATCTCTGTATTCCTAAAGTGAGACTATCAAGTTTTGTCTTGCTTTAGCCGAGAGAGTTGTGTCGATTTTAACCTCATTTCTGTCATCTTTAGTGCCAGATTCAAGATTTTGATCGTCTCCTCATGTGGTAGTATTTGCTTTTATTCTCTTTCTACCATTCTCAATAATTCAGTAGGTAAGTTGCACTCTTCTTTATTATCGTATTCACTGAAATCCACAAGACAAATGGCCGATTCAAAATCCACCTCCGGATCAGAATCACCAGTGCCTTCATTATCGTTATCTAGGGACCCGAAGGAAGAGAGAAACGTGTATGTGTGAGAGGAAAATATCCCACACGAAACAGTCAAGAATTAAATTCAAAAGAGAATAAAATGGAGTACTGGAATAAAGAAAATAGACAATAAATTCAAACAGAAATGAAATAAGAAAACTTTTTGCCTTGGAAAGGGAAAAATGTATCTTTTATTGAAATTAAACAAAATGTTTATTCATCCTTACAAAAGATCACCTATTGCCCCGAGTATAGGCAAATAGGGATAGTTCAAATATTACTCTAAAAGATTCTTGTAAACCACAGGTAATTCTTCCACGACCAGCTGCTAGGCACAAACACAGGTGGCAGAGGGCATATTCCGGATCTATCTTCGTTGTCAATATCTTCTGTGGTCACAACATTGAAGCTCAGATCTTCTAGAGCCATTTCTAAATCAGATGTGGTGGTTTCAAACACATAATCACCTGACTTGAATGTATGGTAAAGAGTCGGCAATGTCACGGGCTTCCATTGAAGTTCACCTTCAGCTAACCTAGCTAGTCTTCTTTCTCAGTTCTTCTGGACTTCCTTCCTCTTTTCATGGTAATTGGCCTGAAAACCAAGCCCAAACTAGTCTAATTTTAAAATGGGAAAGACTGGACTAATCCTTCTTTGCAGCTGTTTCCCAAACCCCTTTTCGGTCTTGGTACATCAGCCCAAGGTTTGCTTGATCTCTATCTTTGTGTACTTGGAGAGTCGAGGTCTAAGAATCTTCTTTCCTTTTGCCATGAATGTGGTATTCACAAACTCCAAGGAGTATAATGAACATTCTACCGGTTCCTCGTCTACTTTGATGTATGGGGCCACCGTGGTCACACTTGCCATGATATCTTCCTCAACATTGATAATTATTAAGGCCCCGTCAATAACAAATTTCACTTTTTTGGTGCAGCGTGGACGGTACTACACCTACTTGATGAATCCATGGCCTCCCCAAAAGACAGTTGTAAGAAGGCATGATATCCATCACTAGGAACTCGACATCATAGGTGGTAGGTTCGATGGTCAATGATACCTCAATCTTGTCAATAACCTCTCTCTTGGTTCCATCAAATGCTCAGACCATATTCTGGCAGGTTCTCATATGTGGTGTATCTATTGGTATCCTTTTTAATGTAACCAAAGGTATCACATTCAGGGCCGAGCCATTGTCGATCAACACACTTGGTAGGGCATGTCCCTTGCAATAAGTAGTGATGTGCAATTCCTTTGTTCGGCTTCTTCCTCCGGATGGAATCTCATCATCTGAGAATGAGATGAGATTATCAGCTTGAATATTATTCACCAGTCGATCCATCTTGTTGACTGAGATGTTTTGCGGCACGAACGTTTGATTTAGGACTTTCAATAGTGCTTCTCGGTGTGCCTTCGAGTTCAACAATAGTGCTAGCATTGAAGTACGCGTAGGTAAGCTGTGGAGATGTTCTATAATGTTGTACTCGCTGTGCTTCAAGATCTTGAGGAACTCCTTAGCTTCTTTTCTTTTATAGGTTCGTTGACAGCTAACACATCTTCCTTAAAAGGATCAAGTGGTCTCTGCCCTACTTTGCTATCACATCATTTGGAAGTACTCACCTGGCATTCGTACTTCCATGGTACTTATCGATTGTCTTTGTATTGAAAAGGCTGAGGTGATGTGATCACCACCTTGGCTGGTATTATTGTTGTCGTCATTCTTGCCTTAGGGGTAATTATCAAAGGACTAGCCCTACCATATTTCTTGTCTGATGATTCTTCGGTCACGCAAATGTCTACTTCCGAGGAATCCTGAATTTCTTCATAAAACTTCAGCTCTTTCCTATCCATCATGAGATGGACCAATGATTTGAATTCTGGGCAATCTTGTACTTCATGCCCTTCTTCGTTGTGGTAACAGCAATGATTACCATCTCCAATCCTTGTTGCGCGTGACTGGGGTACAAGAAGTCCCATCTTTACCATTTGACTCCATACCCAAGCCAAAGGAGCTTTTCCTTCCGAGACACTAGTTTGATTCTCCTGCCGTTCTCGGTGGTGACTGCATTGATTCCAGCCTCCAGATGATTAGGCAAGGGATTCTGGGTGACATTCGGTGCTCCAGAGTTGAAATGGATCCAATTCTTGTTCCACATTCATTGTACATGCCTCTTGAATGGAAGACAATTTTTAATTAAATGCCCTTGCATACCACCATGATATTCGTAATAGGTGTTTTCGTCAAACCATCTCGGATATGGGGGCTTTATTGGATCCATTGGGTAGGGTGACACCACGTGAGTGTCAAAGAGTTGTTGATATAACTCTTTATACGTCATGGGAATGGGATCGAACTGCTCCCTTTCCCTTTCTTTTCTTGGTTCTCTCTTAGCTTGGTTAGAAGTACCGGACGGTACAGCTGCAGTGGTTTTTGAACTTGAGATCGTAACACCTTTGTTAGCATTGTAGGTGTTGACATTGTTGATCTCGTGGTTCTTGTTCTTCATGGGAGGCTTCTTACTGGAGTCCCCTCCCTTGATTTTTCCTTGTTTTATAGCTAGCTCCACCATCTCACCAGCCATAACTAGGTCTGAGAAAGTTCCCGATGTAATTGCCACCAAGTGCCCGAAGTAAGGCGTCTTCAAGGTCTATACAAACAACTTTCTAGTTTCATTTTCATCCAAAAGTGGATGAACTTACACAGACAGATCCCTTCATCTCTGTGCGTACTATAGGAAACTTTCGTTATGCTTCTTTTCCAGGCTCTACAGCATAACTCGGTCTAGTCTCATATCATTGATATGCTTGTACTGTTCTAAGAAAAACTTGGCTAAGTCTTTCCACGTCTTGATATGAGTTCGGCTGAGCTGGTTGTACCACCGGATAGCTGAACAGGACAGGCTCTCCTGAAAGTAGTGGATCATAAGTTGGTTATTTTCCACATATCCCGTCATCTTCTGACAGAACATAGTGATGTGGGTTGAGGGGCAACTATTCCTATCAAACTTCTCGAACTCAAGGACCTTAAACTTTGGTGGAAGAACCAAATCTGAAACTAGGCTCAACTCCATTGCGTCCACTCTATAATAATCATGGTCTTCTTGGACCATCTTCATCTGATCTTCCAGGATCTTAATCTTTTCTTCCATTTTTTTCGCTTTGTCCTCTTCATCGAAATCCGGGATATTATAATCATCCAGATGGTTGTCAGGACAGGTTGTGGAAGTTTTTACCTTCGGAGCAGATGATGATTTTCCTTTGGTAGCAAAAGAGTTTTCTTGCGGTCCGGATAATATCCCGGGTAAAATAACCACCTATGGGGTCGGTGATATGGTTACCCCCTTAGACGCAACTAATCCGGGTGCACTTGCTTGTTGTTGTAAACCATACAACTTAGCCACGATTTTGTCAACTAAGGATTCCTTGCTTTTCGTTATGGACTCCAAGGTACTCTTATTATTCTGAGCCATTTTGTCCTCCAATTCTTTCTACAAGTTTGCCATGTTCTCTTCGATCTTCTCGATTCTGGCTTCTATTTGTCTCTTTTTTGCTTGAGTATTGTGTGGGTGATACGTATCTAATGCTTGCGGTGGTAAACTTGGTGTTTGCTCTTTCTCTTTCTGAGACATGTTCTGTTAGTTAATACGAATGTAAAAATATGGAAAACATGAAAAATAAAGATGAAATATAAAATGCAAAGTATGCAATGTATAATGTATGCAATTTGGAGGCATTGATCCAGAAAAGTGTCCATTATTATAAATAATCCTTATTCAGACAAAAATATTTTATCTTTTAAGAGACATAAAAACAAATTAAAGGTACATCCAGACTAAATCCTCTAGACCCCGAACAACTTCTAGTAGGTTGACAAGTCTTCTGCCTTCATTTGTCCCTGGTTGAGTGCCTTGTCGAACCACTCTAGCTTCCCTTGCCAGACCGTGAAGATGACGGGCTGCCTTCTATACTTGATCTAGGAAATCTCGGATGACTGCGTCTCTGGCCTTCACCCTTTGTTGTGCTTTCTCCCAACGGAAACGCCATTTTAAACCTCCGTCAAAGGGCACTATCTGAAGCTCGTTCGCTTGCCTCTTGAACCCATCTACAATAGCTTCTAACTTAGCTATTGTCTTGCCATTCTTTTCATGTTGTTTCTTTAAATCAGCCACCCGGATTCTCAAGCGTTGGTTCTGATGTTGACTATCTACTAAGCACCTCTGAGCAGTCTTCAGTTGTTCCTTCTAAGCTCTTTCATCTGACCCCTCGAACTTCCTTTTCAGACTGTGAGATTCGTCTTTCTAGTATTCAGAGGTTACTTTTAACTTGGAGTTATCCTTGACTTTATCTTGATACCCCTTTCTCAAGTCTTCGAGCTTAAAATGGATTTTCTTCTGTTCTTTCTCTAGTTTGTCTGCTCGATCTTTCTGAGTGTCAGTATCTAGCTTCCACTAATAGCGTTCAGTTTTAAGTTCCTTTACCCTCTGCTTCAGTTCATTGTTCACAGCTTCGAATTCTGCCTTGGCTATCTCAAGTTCAGAAGGAACATGCCTGAGATGTTCCTCCATGATCCGGGTGTCTTCACAGTCTGGCACCGGGATGTTTTCATTTTTCTCAATCTTCGCCACTCCATATAATCTGGAGTAAGCATGTCTCTAGCAGTCACAATATCCATCCGGAACACTTTCTTCCAAGAGTCGCTACTTCTTTGATCATCTTTTTATAGTTATCACCATGGTACACAAACTATGATATAGATAATCCGTATGTGGCCAGGACGAACTGACGTGCCCCATATTGTCTAAGTGCCAATGATAGAGCATACCCAACTGCACCCTAAAGTCCAAGTAAGGTCATAGTATCAGAATCCCCACACCAAAAAAGAACATCACTGAGGAACAACCAGGGGGCTTTCTAGGTAATATCTAGGTCCTGAAGATGAGTGAAGAACTTCATTCACTTTTTCTTTGTAGCGTCTTCATGTCATTTCATAGTGATGAACTCTCCCAAAGGTGAATAGGTGGTGCTAAATCTGCGGTAGGTAACCCCTTTAGTCTTCTAGAAGTGGCTGTGAATCCAGACTTGAAGAAACTGAACATACCCAATGAACATTTCCAGCACGGTTGCGTCGATGCACCCCAGGGTCTTCGGAAAGATAATCAAACCTTACAGACCCAGTACGAAAAGGTCTATAGTCTTCTATTCATCAGGGTGGTTTTTCATTAGTTGCTTTATGTAGATCAACTCGATTCCTTCCCTGCTACTTTTGTGTCGGAGTCGATCAGTCACCCATTTTTCATCAACCCCTGCAATCTTAGTCAATCCATTCTTGAAAGGCTGACTCTTGATGTGTTTGATATATGCCCTCTCTAGTCTGATGCTTTCGCAGTGTAGTAGGGTAGTATACTCTTCGATAGTGGGTACCATGTCCTCCCGGTTAAAGGTGAAGCAACTATATCTCGGGTTCCATAATTGAATCAATGCTCGGAGCAGGGGCTAATCGTCTTGACATGGAGTAAAAGGGCAATATCACAATATCGTTGGCTGAACTTCTGCTTTCTGTCATTCTTTCAACTGTCCCAAATGTTCCTCAACTCTTGGACATTGTTCTGTTTCAGGATGACAGAGGCATAGCTAACCAGCTTTGACACATAGTTACTCTGAAGACCGTCTCCCTTCTCTTTCTGAATCTTCTCGGACCATAGTCATGCCTCGGCATTTTTAATCTCTTGTATTACAACGCTTTTTTCCAGTAATTCAGATTATTTTGTGTGTAAAAAATGCTTTTTAGGGAACAATAGCCTCTTGTTATGATGCAAATGCTAGAAAACAAACACAGAGGCAAAAAAGTTAGTAAAATAAAAATAAATAAATAAATAAGTAAAAATGAAAAAGAAAAAAACACAAAAAAACATGGATATGGTAAAAATATCCTAGGTTTTGGAATGTGGTTTCGGGGTAGGCTCTAATTCTCCATGGTCTCTTAGTTTAGGTTCTAAAAAATGGTACCCGAGTTCTCATTACCGGTGCCCCCATGGGCTTGCCAAACCCTTAGTCCTAAACCCATCACAGGCTTGTGTGGACTAAGTTAAACTGGAGAGGACACATTCCCTTATGCCTGCACGGTGAATAAATTCACACGAAGACATAAGGTATATGAATCCCGAAGGCTACTTGCTAGGCCCACACGGTGAATAAATTCACACTAAGGTGTTGCTTTTACCTCACTTAAAACAGGGTTCAGAACTCGAGTTTAGAGCCTTAAGTGAAAAATAAGCTTTGAAGGCTGAAATCATTATAAAACGATTAGTACAACTATTTACTTGAAAATATAATCAAAAGTAAGCAATAAGGATCGAAATGTTACCTTAAAATTTAAACTTACCATTTTCGTTAAAAAGACAACTGGAAATTACCTTAGCCTGACTCACTTACTTGTCCCCAGTGGAGTCGCTAAGCTGTCGGAACCGTCTTTCAGTTAGGCCTGAAATTGGGCTTCGACTTAGGAAAATGGATTAGGAGTCACCATCGATCTTTTATTTTAAACAAAATGGGTTGACCAGATACCTTATTTCTTACCTGATCTGCGTCTTTCCAAAGATGTGTTGGATTCTGGATTCGGTTACAGTCAAGGAAGGGTTAGCACCCTTGAACTGCCCTTTCGGTACTATGTAATTTCCAATTGTCTTAAATTAAGAATATTGTAACTTTAAATTAAAAGGTAAAAATTGATCCGACTTACTTACCTCTTACAAATTTACGGAAATACCCTTAAAAGATGAAAATGTTAGAAGTAAAAAAGAAGTGAATAAAATAAAGAAAAACAAGTAAAATAAAGCAAAAGAAAATAATATAAAAAAGTGAATAAAATAAATAAAGTAAAATAAAACAAATAAATAAAATAAGAAAAAAGGATAAATAAAATAAAGATAATATTGACAAAATACACATGCAAGATAAAAAATAATAAATAGAAACATGAAATAAAAGAAATAAATAACTAGATAAAAATGGACATGAATAAAAATGTTAAGAAGATGGGAAGAATAAAATAAAATAATAAATTAAAAATAAAAATGAAGATGAAAACCAAAAATAAAACATGTAAAATATAATAATAATATAATATATATAGTAATAAATAAAAAAACCAAAAATAACAAAAGAGTAAAAGAATGAAAAAAAAGAAATATAGAGAATAGAAAAAAAATAGGTAAATATGTATATAAAATAAAACAAAAATAGTGTATAAGTATATATATATATATATATATATATATATATATATATAAAATAAAAAAACATAAAATAATAATACAAACGAGAATATAGTAATAATAGTAAGGGATCAAATTAAAATAGAAGCAAAATTATGGGGGCAAATTGCAAAGGAAAATTGAGGATTAAACTCTATTTGGGACATAATTGTGCCTTTAAAAATTTACGAGGACCAGAATGGGATTTAACCCATTTTTGTTTTAAAACACGTGGACCCAGCAAAGCGGGTTGGGTCCAGGCGCGGGTTTCAGATCGGACGTGGGCCGAGTATAAAAGCCAAGATTTAAAAAAAAAATCATTTCTCTATTCTCATCAGCCGAGACCCCATCCCTCTCTTTAACATTTCTCTGAAATGTTCTTCAAATATGAAGAACTCGACTGGGTTCTTCAATGAACCCAGTATCCAGCCACCACAAATCGCCTCGCGCCGCCTCGCCGCCGTCGTTTATCAGCGGCAAAAATTTTATTTTTATTTTTTTTCAAAATCTTGAAAGCTCTTTAAACCTTGTTTCCAAAAATACAACATTATTTTTAAAACACAAGCCTCGGGGGCTAGATCTACAAAGGGAGATCTCGAAAAGCCCCCTATTCATCGGCCAAAAAAACCTCTTTTTTTGCTTTCTTTCGAATCGTAATGAAGTGGAAACGAACAAGATTCCACATGCAAGCAAGGCTAAATAAATAAAAGGTAAAGGTTTTCACCTTTTTTATTGCTCTTCGAACTGGTTACAAGGCTTGGATTTCTCTATATTTTTGGTATCTCTCGTAAATGCTTTCTTTATATTGTGTGTAATATCGTGTATAATATGCGTGTCTAGTTGTGCTTTTAATCTTCTGTTACAGTGTGCAAATTTACATCAATTTATAGGACTGAAAAGTTCTATTTTTAGACTTGATTGAGTGTTTCATTTTGAGTATAACACTGATTCTTGTGGTTTGTTTGCATGCTTTTCTTGCGTCGGACGTTGCAGGGTTACTGGTGGTGAGATGTGCGACCGTGAAACTCGGGCATTTGACCGAGGGACTCGGTTGAGGGGTGTGAAGCATGAGGAGATCTCAGGGGGGAGCGTGCGGCGCGGCTGGAATCTTGGCTAGGGTTTGAGACAACTCTAGATACCTTTGTTGTGGACTGTTGGATCTCATCTAGATCCAACGGTCACTGTTGTTGGCGGTTGGAAGCATAAAATGGGCTAGCTTGGGTTTTCTGGAAACCCTAATCTACTGCATATGGGCTTACTGGTCTGGGGTGTAATGGATTGCTGGGTAGCAGTTTATTTGGGCCTGTAACCAAACAAAACAAAATGTGAATATATATATATATATATTATAAAGTAGCGTAAATATGTAATGAAATGTATTATATAGCAAGGTTAAATTAAGGGACAAAATTTGTTGTTTTCAGCTGCAATAGTGTGATTGATTGTTGTGAGTGCAAAAGTATATTTATGATCCTACTTTCTTATTTATTTCACACAAGAATCAATTTGTTGCTATAAATTCGTTCCAACTTTACTCCATGATCAAGATGTACATATTGAAGTCTAAATATACACTTAGTAAGCATTTCATAATTCGGAGGTCTACTACGGAAGCTGCTCTTAACCTGGTGTTGGGGGCAGCCTACTATCTTACCTCCCCCTTACCCCATTACATATGGGAATCAAGGTCAGCTAATTTTTATTTTTTTAAAATTGACATAAAAAAATTGTTCTTAAATTAATATTTGAATTAAGCGTATTCTTTTAAAGTGATACTTATATAATTTTTCACTATCAAATTGGTATATGAATTTCATTCACTCTTTTAATACTTTTATTCTTAAGTTGATACACGAAATTTAATCTCATCTATTATTTTAATATTTGTATTAATATTAATTATGTCGCAACATAAAATTATGTCACATATCAATGATAATATTATCATGTGTGTTTAGAAATTATTAAAATTAAAAATTATTAAATGTCAATAATAATATTATCACATGTTTTTAAAAATTATTAATTTTTTTTTTAAAATGTAGTAATACCCTTCACATATCTGAAGAAATTTATTATCTCGTCATAAAAAATATTTATTTTATGACGTTAATTTTATTACAATAATATTTGTATAATTTTAGATGAATCTATAAAAAGGAAAAAGGAAAAACAAAATAAAATTGACATTAAATGTTATAAAAATAAAATAGAAATAACACGATGATATTAAATGATAAGTAATTCTCTACGTAACATAACATTTCCTCTTTGAAATTGTATTCTCTTTGAAATTAATTACAGGAAAAAGAGGGTATTTCTTAGGTGATTTGATCAAACTGACACCCTTTAACCGAATATTTCCCTTTTTAACACCGTTTGTTTTATATTTCCCGAAGTGGCACCCTTTCAGCTGAGGTGGCGAAAGGCGCATCCTCGGGGACGCGCTTTACCTAGTTTTACGCTGAGTTGGATGCCACGTGTGAAAGGCACATTCCCGGGGATGCGCTTTACATTTATTTGTTGATTCAGTTGCCACGTGTGAAAGGCGCATCCCGGGGACGCGCCTTTCATTAAATGTCTTAAATGCCCATCCGATTTTTCCCCAACTACCCCTCCTCCTCCCTTATATAAACCCCCTCAACCCCCTCATTCTTCACACCAAAATCTTCTTCTCCTTTCTTATATAACTCAAATTATCTAAATCTTTGAGTTTTAAATTTCTTATTAGTGATAAGAAATTTATTTTTCAGTTATTTTTTTAAATAGTTATTATATTTTATATTAATATAATTATATAAATATTATTTTTTTATTAAAATAATGTTTATATAATTATTATTTATTTAAATTTATTAATTAATTATTTTTTGTGCTAATTATTATTTTTTGTCTACAGTTATAATGGAAAGTGAAATGCTGCTGCGATTGAATGCTGACCATATCTCCAGACATTTTAGCGATATGGTAATATTTTTTTCTAATTAATGTTAATATTTATTGTTATGTTTAATTTAAATTTATTATGAATTTATATTAATTTTAATTTTTTATAATGCATATTATTTAGGATACTGATCGTATTTTAGAGACATTTATTAAAAATCCACGTATACCGACACCGGAATGTATTTTGCCATTTTTGGCTTCTGCCTGGTTCGGATATATTGCAACAATCATTGGCAGTTGCAAACTCGAACATGTCCTAATTTCTGCATTGATTAAGAGGTGGAGGCCTGAGACACACACTTTTCACCTTCCATGTGGAGATGCTACAATTACATTGGAGGATGTCTCTATGTATCTGGGGCTTCTCGTCGATGGAAATATGATGTGTGGTATGGCGGATGGTGATTGGCAGTCAATGTGCATTGATTATCTTGGAGCTGCTCCGCCAGAGTTTAATGGAGGTAGAATAGCTTTATCTTGGTTGAATGCTAATTTTGAGGTTTTAAATGAAAATGTTTCAGAGGATCAAGCAAAGGCATGTGCTCAGGCATATATTCTATGAATAATTGGAGGAATATTGATGCCCGAAAAATCTCGCAACCAGGTGCATTGTATGTGGTTGCGGCTTCTGATCGATTTTGATGAAGTTGGAAGATATAGTTGGGGCGCTACAGTTTTGGCATTTCTCTTTAGAGAAATATGTCGGGCGACGAATTATAAGAAAACTACTATCGGTGGATGTCTCCTGCTTCTACAATCATGGGCGTGGTTCCGCATGCCTTTTTTATGCCCGATCGTGAATGAACCATACGTATTCCCCTTATTGTTGAGGTAATTATCGAACTAAATTTTGATTTAAATATTTTTAATTAAATAGGGTGATATTTGGTTTATATTATATTTCATAGGTGGTCGATGAAAAGAAAGAACCATAGAAGTATACCTACTGGGTTAGAGGAAATTTGTCTACTTATTGATACAAAAGCTGGATCTGAGGTATGTTTTTACACCTGTTTAAATATTAATATTTTAATTTAAAATGCTAGATATAATTAGAATATTTTATTTATTTGAATTGTATATTTATATTTTAGTTTCAATGGATACCTTATGCGAGCGATGAAGTGAAGGCTTGCATCTCACCCCACCGTGGTGGGTCATTAGAGGTTTGGATATCGGTTATACCTCTTATATGTTATGCTATTATTGAGTGGCATCCAGTTGATCGCGTGCTCCGTCAGTATGGTTGTACGCAATATATTCCTGGAGCACCTAAGAATTTAGACGACGTGCATAACATAGATAGACGAGGAAAGAAAGATGTTAACTGGGTGGTGAGACATAGAGATTGGATTGCGCTTTGGGAGAACCGGTATGCACAGTTGGCCCCTCGACAATATTACGCTGAAACTGGTCATATGGTTACGGATAACTATATGGACTGGTTTAATGAAAATGGGAAGCCGTTTCTACTTTTGGCGGAAGCACGAGGGGTTAGCATTCCTAGGCGCCGAGAAAGACGTCAACCGTCTCAATATCATCGTCCTCCGACTCATGGACGGAGAGAAGGTGCTACCGGTTCTGCATCAGTCCCACCACAACATCCTTATCCACCGATGCCACAATGGTACATACCCAGCCCTCCACTTCAGATGCCATCTCCTTAGGGGTATATGTCAAGCCCACCAGTTCATATGTCATCTCTGCAGGGTTACATTCCTAGCCCGCCATGTTACATGCCTAGCCCGCAGGGTTTTATACCATATGGAGGTGCATATACAGCTATGTTTAATGATCCAACATATGGTTCATATGCATCTTATTTTGCTGGTGGTGCTTCTCCTCAGACACCTCAATCTCCATCTGGATCACAGACATCGATGCCAATGTTTCCACAGTTTTCACAGTTCTCGGGGAGCGGTGGGATGGTTACTAGCACTCCTCCAGGGTCATTATTTTATACAGGCCCTTCAGCCCCTTCAGCGTCATCTACGCCAAATGAAGAAAATACCGATGATGATGATAGTGAAGATGAGGAGACTGAAGAACAAGTTCCACGAAGAAATCCTCCGTGAAATAGACAACCACCGCCATGTGGAACTCATTCGAGAAGACAGCATCGGTGATCCAGTTGTATTTTAATGTTATTTAAATAGTTATATTTCAGAAATTTATGTAATTTGGTTATGTTATTTAAATGTTTCATTGTTGTTACTTCTAATATTTTTAATGTTATTTTTTATTCAAATTTAACATTAAATGTTTAATAAATGTTTTTAAAATACAAATTATAGTATTCGAAATTTAAAATTAAAATACAATAATATTATTCGAAATTTAAATTTAAAATATAAATTATAGTATTCGAAATTTAACATTAAATTCAAGTTAATATTCAAATTGTATTCAAAATTAAAAGTTATATTCCAATTATAGTTCACAATACTTAAATTGAAATTAAATTTATCCATACATATGATTTTATCATTAACATATATATTAAAACGTATACATTAAAATCAACTTATCACTTCACATTTATTCGTAAAAACATGTCGATGCTCATTCCATACAATTTCAATGTCACAATAAACTTATCACTTCACATTTATTCAATTTATCCATAACATTTTATCTAATTTATTCAAACATCACATAACGTTTTAATTTAAGTTATGAACTTAAATTTATCTATATATATAATTTTATCCTTAACTTGCTGAACTTCCAAAAGAAGTTAAATTTTGGTTATAATTTACCTGATTTCACCATCCATCTATAGTTCCCCAGGAACGCGTCCCCGGGAACGCGCCTTCACGGTCCCTTAAGGAATAATAGGTATTGACATGAATAGTTCCCGGGGGACATAAGTGACATAATAGGGTAATGATAACATATTCTCTAACAAAATAATGGAAGGCGCGCCCCCGGGAATGCACCTTCACGGTCCCCTAAGGAATAATAGGTATTGACATGAATAGTTCTCGGGGGACATAAGTGACATAATAGGGTAATGATAACATATTCTCTGACAAAATAATGGAAGGTGCGCCCCCGGGAACGCGCATTCACAGTCCCCTAAGGAATAATAGGTATTGACATGAATAATTCCCGGGGGACATAAGTGACATAATAGGGTAATGATAACATATTCTCTGACAAAATAATGGAAGGCGCGCCTCCGGGAACTTGCCTTCACGGTCCCCTAAGGAATAAAAGGTATTGACATGAATAGTTCTCGGGGGACATAAGTGACATAATAGGGTAATGATAACATATTCTCTGACAAAATAATGGAAGGCGCGCCCCCGGGACGGCGCCTTCACGGTCCCCTAAGGAATAATAGGTATTGACATGAATAGTTCCCGAGGGACATAAGTGAAGTAATAGGGTAATGATAACATATTCTCTGACAAAATAATGGAAGACGCGCCCCCGAGAACACGCCTTCACGTGAATAGTACCCCGGTTATAGACACTATTATATGCAACGTATTATAAACTTTCAAAACAAACTTCAGTTCACAAGCTTTGAAATTCTCAAACTCTAAATTTCTCAAAAATCTCAATCCTCTATTCTTTGAAAATGAGTTATTTTTCTGCTGTTG